GATAAAGAGTAAGATACCTGGCATTTCAGAATCTAAGTTCTACCAACCAAAAAGAATAAAAAGATCAAAAAACAACAATAGAAATTATAGAATACTTCACTCCTTAGATTGGCGCCATATTGAATTTCGCGGCCGCGCTGGTTAAGGCCTGGGGACTAGGTGCTCTACAGTGAACTCTAACTGGAAGGCTAACTCAGTGAACTCTAATAATAACTGGAAGGCTAACTCCTATGATCAAAGTCTATGATTCGTTGAAGCCGGCGCGCGGGAAAATCAGCTTTCAAAAGGACTAAGGAGAGTTTCGAGGAGTGAAAAAAATTCTGTCAAAAGTTTGTTTTCGAGCAAAAATTTGCAAGAAAAACACTTTTCCCATGGGAATACAACAATGACTTGGGATTTAAACCAAGTTTCCGATTAGTTCCGACTGTTTTACATCTCTCTGCAGCAGAAAGTAAGGAATTTTGCTTTTGTATTTTGAAAAAATGACGAAAGTTTGGACGTGCCGAAGGAAATCTCGCCGTTCAAACCAAAAATATATACTATAAAACATTTTGACAGTCCCAAAACTTATGTTGTACTAAACCCCAGGTATTGTTATTGATCCTGAGCTTTTAGTCCTTATTTTAGTCGCTCTTAAACATAAATAAATTGGCGTTTTTCAAGTGATGTTATTTTCGTCATCGGCATCTTGTTGGCCACTATGAGCACTTTGAATATGGCAATATTTTTGTCAATTTTCAAATGCTTTTTTTTCGACCTTAAAACGTTAAATCTTCTTGAAATTTCGCATACAGATGTATTTTGCATGGGTATAAAAAATTCCTGAGGTATGACGTCTCAGTTTTATCTTAAACTTCCAAAAACTCAGAAAAAGCAGCCTAAAACGCGCGGTTTTTCAGACCGTTCATGCTTATGGCCGTGTTTTTTCGTATTTTTTTGCTAATACGTGATTTGTTTGCTTTGCGAATATTAAATTCATTTATAATACTACTGATATAAATTAAATTTGGTAGTATTACTAATATTTTGGGGCAAGATTTTTCTGATCAAAAAATGTGCATATTTTGAAAAAAAAATGTAAAAAGGACTGGGTCTACCTACAAAAAAAGCTTCAAGCACGGCTTCAACTTCCCCCCCTGACTTAGCCTTCCAGTTATTATTAGAGTTCACTGGTGCTCTACCGTATCTGAAATAGCCTTCACCGTGATAGTGACAGTGTTTCCACAACTCACCATTCAAATTTCTTTGATTTTGCCATAAGATTTCCATTAAGTTTTCCTTGAAATCCAAAGAAATTCATGAGTATTAGCGATACCATGAGGCTGCTCCATTTAACTAACTGTTCGGAGAACTCCACATTTTCGGAACACTAATGGAATGGAACAAAAGACAGTCACATGACTGTTCTGAACGACTGAACTGTTCTGACTACTCCGATTTTTGAGTAGAGGCAACCAGAACAGAACACGTGACACTGCCCATTTTCACGTGATTGGAACTTGGAAGTGGAGATGACGGATTTTGTGTGTCCAATGCACACTGCATAGAGTGTTATTTTGAAGGGTTAACCGGTATATATCGACATATACTTATTATATGCTATTTAAACATCAAGATTGGGCGAAATCAACGAGTAAACACGGTGCAAAAGCATACTTAGATTTTCAAATAACAGCCAATCATTATACAATTATCTTTGCGAATAACTAATGAATGTAGTAAGCATGGTTGCACGCATATATAATAAACTAAACACTGTTCCAGAACACCAGTCATGTCGTTCCAGAACAGTCAGTCCAAATGGTCTAAAACAGTAAATGGAGCCTCCAAGTAATACGTGATAACCTGCTCCGCGCAGTTTGATTTTCGCCTAAAAATTTCAGGCTGGGGATAGCCTGCGTGCAGCCTGACTTTAAATGGGTTAACTTTAAAGTCAGGCTGCACGCAGGCTAGCTGGGGACAGCCTTACTTAGTTTTTAAAATTGAGGATTTTGCAAGTGCGCGAAGCGCCCGCAGTAATCGAAGTCGATGTAAGTCGAAATTATACGAAGCACAAAACGTACTGAAGACATATAACAATGTTTTATTTCTCCTATCCAATAACTTATTCCTCATAACTCACGATACACAGCTGCATGATAAAAGACTAAGTACTAAAATAATGATTGAGGGTTATTGTAGATGGAAATCATCGAGTGGAATTTTGTTTGAACATTTATATAAATTTCCAGCTACAATAACCTTCAACTATTATTCAATCGAGTGAGTTGGCAACAAAACCTGATATATAGGTATTAAAATAAAACGTCATGGCTTAGTAACCTAGCCATATAACTTCAGTTCGTAATCAGCAAGAACAACTATAAATCCTGTTTTCTTGAAAATGTCATGTCATTTTCACCAAGCATGCATAATCTAGCTGGTATTCTGGTAGCAAAGAAAAAAAATATCTATACGGCAGTCCTACTTAGACGATAACAAATAATATTTAAGTGTATAGTGACATTTTTGGTTTTTATTATAACTAGTTCATGACTTTTCGGACTTTCGGACTTTCCAAGTTTCGGACTTTCGAAGTTTCGGAGTTTTGGACTTTCGGACAGGAGTATTATGGCTTTATAACGCCGCGTTTCGGACATTCGAAGTTACGTTAATTTTTCACCGAAACCAGATTTAATTTAATTTAAGGCTAATAAATGCAAAGGCCGCGGTCGTATTGCATTCACGATGCAACGTCTCAACACTTTATTGACATCGTATAATGTCCTGACCTGAGATGGTCTAAGTAATCTCGTGGATGACGTCATTAGGAAGGTCACAGAGAAATTTGGGTAACGTTGTTTACATTGTTGCTACCCAATTTACAACTTTAGATAACTCACATGCCTAGTTACTATTGTTCTAGTTTACAGAAGCATAGAATAGAACAAAGGTAACTAAGCATTAGAGTTATGTATAAGAGTTATTATATTTTATGTGTTTGTAAACTAGAACAAAGATAGTTTGGCATCTGAGTTATCTAAAATTCATTGTGAATTGAGTATAAACAGATGTTAGCCAAATTTTTCTATTGACTTTCGGGGCAATGGAAGGGGCTTCGGTGGTGAAGTGGTTTATTAGCGCACTTGTCTTTCAACACTAAGGTCGCAGGTTCAAATTTCAGTGAGAACTTTCTCAATGCGGTTCAAAACCCAGTCCTCAAGTGAAAAGAGTAAAAGTCAACGCTTTGCCGAAAGCCGTGGGTTTTCTCCGGATATTCTTGTTTCCTCCCACAGGGAAAGTTGACAGGGTGGGTTAGGTAGAAGGGTCCACAGTAATTGGCATATGTTGTTGTGATGACCCTGCCCTAGATGGCAAAGCTAAATAAATAAATAAATAATTAAAGAAAATGGAGATAGCCTTTTGCACAAGCGATATCCATCATCTGATCTGATTCCAAATAATTCTAAATATATGACGCATTGTTATGGCTTAACTCCCCTTTTATTACAAGGAGTTACTGATAGTTATTCCGTGCAGTACATATCTATGTTTGTGGGATACATCAGCCCAGGGCATTTTTAAGAATTCGTCAGTGGGGGGGGGGCGTCTACAAAAAAGGACCATACTATACTGAGTGTGGAAAAATGATAGATGGTTTTTGGTAACAAAAGGTTTGGTGTAATGTCGCCATAGTAAGTGGGCCTGGTATTCTCCCCCAGAAAATGTTTGTATTTTTCTACCGCTAGGACTGCAATTCCTGCATTTTCTGAAACAGATTTTTGGATATACAGTACAATGAACCTCACCTTCAGTGAAGTACTTGGATGGTATGTTTATGTAGATATAACAACTTGGTCACTCAGGGAGCCAGTTTGATAAACTTAGAGGGCCTGACTCCCATGTAACGCCACTATGGTTGGCACAGGGCGGAAAAAGTTTGAACATTTTGCGTTCCTAGATCGTCGGTAATGGTATTTTCAAAGTCTATTCTACTTCTTTTGTTAGGCCCTTTCATTCATTCTTTCATGATTTGTGAGTCTATGCTATCCGTGAGTTAGAATGGATTATTACCGGAGAAATGTTGTTATCAAAATATCGAAAGAACCACAACAGTCTGTTTCATCCGTATAGGAATCATCAGGTGGTGAATCTCCTGATGATTCCTATATACGGATGAAACAGACTGTTGTGGTTCTTTGAGGTAAAACGAAAAACTATATATATATATATATATATATAAATATCAAAAAATCATAAATCTTCAAAGTAAATAAATTATATTTTTACGTTTCGGGGACAAGCCCCTTCTTCAGAATAACGCTACATCATCTCCGTCTCTTACTTAAATAGTCTAACGTTTAGCTATGCATAAATTAATTAAACCTCTTCCCTTAAATTAAGCCCACGTGGGACATAACTATTAAGTTTCTCAATCCAAAAACTCTCCCTCTCGGTGGGGTTATTAACGTCCGTGACGTCAATAACCTGCACTAAAAAATCACTTAGACCTGAATGTCCCTCCCCCCAAAAAATGGGCATACAAATGTTGCCCACAAATATTTCTCTGCCCCCGCCCATATCTATTTAATGCACTCTTGTGGTTATTAAATCGCAATCTGAACGGTGTTATGGTATTCCCTACATATTGCAACCCACAGAATTTACAACTAATCAAATATACTATACCCTCCGAGTCACAATCGAAGCGATGATTAATGCAGAAAGACCGCCCCTCAACATGGCTTTTAAAAGTATATATATATGTAAATATAGTTAATGTCATCTAGTGATTCGATGGTCGCGGGTTCAAAACCCAGCCGCGGGAGACAATATCTTTCTGCTTGCGCTGGGTATGGAATTTATGAAATACGCACTCCAGAACATTTTCAACTTATCCTATGACAGAGTGAATAATAACACAACATAATATTATTAATAATATATATATATATATATATATATATATATATATATATATATATATGGTCGCGGGTTCAAAACCCAGCCGCGGGAGACAATATCTTTCTGCTTGCGCTGGGTATGGAATTTATGAAATACGCACTCGAGAATAACATTTTCAACTTATCCTATTACAGAGTGAATAATAACACAACATAATATTAATAATAATATATATATATATATATATATATATATATATATATATATATATATATATATATATATATATATATATATATATATATATATATATAAATTAAGGTACAACAAATCAACAAAATCCACTAGGCATCTTTATTACTAAATATACTGTGGTACGAAACTATTTAGTAATAAAGATGCCTAGTGGATTTTGTTGATTTGTTGTACCTTAATTTAAATATGCTCTGGTTTTCCATTGAGCACTTTGCCAAAAGTTTTTATAACCAACAAAACCAAATTTTTTATATATATATATATATATATATATATATATATATATATATATATATATATATATATATATATATATATATATATATATATATATATATTTAGTATAAATTTCCAGGTGACTATTGATTTTTCTGCATTCTGATTGGTCAAGATTCACTGTCTCTGAAGTGATAGTCACTGGTCAGTGACTATAGCTTTTTTTTCAAAATGGCTGCTCGTTTTGCCGTAGTAACAGAGGAGGAAATTGCCAAAATTAAAGAAGATAGCATTCCGAAAAAACCCAAACAAGCTACAAAATATGGTTTAAAAATATTTCAAGGTAAAATATTAAACTTTACGTGCTTTTATTTGGAAAAAACTGGCTTAGTCGCAACGCGACACAGAGCCGTGTCTGAGATTTAAATTTTGTAAACAAACTATTTATAGTGAAAATAAATTTATTTGAAGTGAATTTTTATAAAGTTGTGTGGATTATTGTTTGTAAACACCTGGAAATTTATACTAAAACAATTAGTCGCCTCAGGCTCGGTGATTACAAGCCAATATTCACTTCGCCTTCGGCTCAGTGAATATAGGGTTGTAATCACCTCGCCTTCGGCGACTAATTGTTAAATATATATATATATATAAATATATATATATATATATATATATATATATATATATATATATATATATATATATATATATATATATATATATATATATATATATACTTATATGGACTTATACGCACGCGCACAATTCCGAACTCCAATGGTAACATATTTAGTCCAGTTTCAAAATGGCACCTTTTGGTTGAGTGATCAGAATATATTTCACACAGTTTCGTTGAATTTTCAAAGAGTTGTGCCGGTTTCCTATGGATTTTACGTTGTGTCGCACTCGGAACTTTCTTGCGTGTTGAATTAATATGTTTTTCTTCGTGTAACGACTCGAAAACCCCAAAGTTGGGACCCAGCGAATTTTACAAAGGACAAGTTAAAGGTTCGACAGTTTGACTTTTTAACTAATAAACAACGTACTGTCTATAAATATACGTTGTAGAGTCATAAACATCCGTGGTGTAGTTCTGTTCATTTTTTGTTGCACTCTGGACTTTTCAGCGTGTTGAATTAATGTTTTTATTTTTGCATTAAACGACTCTAAAATTTGGCTTCCAAAATTTGGCCGACCCGGCGGATTTATACAATCAATATGTTGTATTAAACGACTCGAAAACCCCAAAATTTGGACCCGACGCGAATTTGTACAATATAGTGGAATATAATCAAGAACAAGTTAAAGGTTCTACAGTTTATTGATTTATTGTATGGTTCTCATTTGCCTAATACAATAACATTTAGTTCACAATATAATATAAACAAGGGCAAGTTAAAGGTTTGACCATATTAGAATACATGTATTGAAATTCGCGCAATAGCTACTAGAATTCGCGCGAGTAAAGATAAAGCGAGCGTTCAAAATACCAAAAAGAACTAAGACATTTATTGTATGGTTCTCATTTGCTTAATAGAATAACATATAGTTCACAATATAATATAAACAAAATATAAACAAGGAAAAGTTAAAGGTTTGACAGTTTCACTACACAATGTCGACAATATACCTTAATGCATGTATTAAATTTCGCGCAGTAGCTACTAGTTGGTGCGCCAAACGCTTTGTGGTAGCTATACTAAAGATAAAGCGTGCCTTCAAAATACCTACAAAAACTAAGACATTTATTGTATGGTTCTCATTTGCCTAATACAATAACATTTAGCTCGACGCGAATTTTAACTAGTATCATATTTCATAATATAATGAACAATGTAAACTAGCCAATTCTTTTCACCTACAAAATGTCAACAATATACCTTAATACATGTATTAAAATTTGCGCAGTAGCTACTAGAGTTCGAGCAAGTAGTAAAGATAAAGCTTGCATTCAAAATACCAAGACATTTATTGCATGGTTCTCATTTGCCTAATACAATAACATTTAGTTCACAATATAATATAAACAAGTCGCCTGCTCAGGCGTTCACACTGGCCTGAAAATAACGACATACGTGCTATGGTGCAAAAGGCAGGAATACAAATCTTAAACTGCAAGCAAATTTTATGGACTTTTTAAAAAAACAAAAGACCTTTTCGGGAGTGATGGTGCAAATCCAAAACTAGGAGTTACTATCGCAAGGAAAGTGCTGCCTTTTTGGCATATGAACTGAATGCAAAAATTTGTACTTCTAGACAATTCTCGGTTATATCTCCAATGTTTCCTGCACAAATTTGTTTCTCGTTCATCATTTAAGCTAGCTCGTTCACAAACTCATCCTTAACTTGTGTGCACGGAATACGAGTAAATAGCGAACATAAAAATGAAGCCATTGGGTCAAAAGTGGATATTAACCTATTAGCTGCCAATGCGCACAACTTTAGTATTAAACTCTGGCTAACGCCAGACCAATTTACACTGTGTAACGCCAGACGATTTTACTTGTTAGTGGCAGAGTACTGTCAGTAAATGGGTTAACAAACACTTCTGCCAATGTCTCTAATTAACCGATTAACAGGCAATGCACCCTGCTTTAGTATTCTTTAGTAACTCTTCAGAATTTGCTCACAGTCAATATGAGTAAAATACATCTTGTATTCAAGCGCTTTCATGTACAAAGTTTCGTTTGAATACTGCACAGAGTAGGAATATTTATTTTGAATTTTTCAAAATATCAGGTTTTTACTCGCACGCACGTTTATAGCTCGATCGATGCACGTACAAATAGTGCCGACCTACAGAATCGATTTCCGGTTTTTCCTAAACAGCGCGTTGTTTTGATGTGCGTTCCTTGGGCCGCGCTAAAAATATAAATATTCTGTAAATACCGAAATAAAAGATGAAAATCTCAAGACACAAGCTTGAAAATATCACTATAAATATAGTGTTTTCGATTCTGGTTCCAATATTATTATTACGAAAAAGATATGTCCAAAGGGGCCGAATAGACCGTCGTCTGCCACTTGCTATCTTGCACTTCCGCTGCACATATCGCAAGACTTAACGGCTTCGTTCTTAAAATATCTGTTTTCACCTTGTATATCTTTTACAGCAACCCCCCCCCCCCCGGAAATAAGTTTGCACAATTTGAAGAACATTGTCCTTAAAATAAGTGGATTTTTGCTTGTCGCTTGACGGCCATTTTGAATCTCATTTTCGCTTTGTCAGCAAAAAGTGAGTTGTTGCCATGGTTATAGCCTCAAAATGGCGGGCGATGTTGATATTGAAAATATCGAATTTCTCTCATGTTTAATTCATTTTGAACATGTAAGACAATCCACATCGTTGATTTCGAAAACACGATTAAACAAGGTGATATCTTGTCATAAAAGATGGATTAATTTAGAAGGAGAAAAGGCTTCTTTTTGCAGAAAAAGTCCTGAACTCTTTTCAGATGAGCACTTATGACTTATTGGTACGAGAGAAATCAAATGGTATATGCACGAAAATTGTTATAAGCAAATTTGTGACGAAAATAAGATCAAGAAAGCCGAAGAAAAATTTTGGTCAACACAACTAGCAGCATCTAAGGGAGGGTCATTATTTATGGGGAGGGGGAGGAGGGTTGGTAAATGGGGAATTAAGGATTGACCCCCCCCCCACCAGACTGACGGCAAACTTTTTGTTCCTCCTCCCTCATAAAAGTAGAAACTTTTCTGACCCCCCCTCCCCCCCTCCAGTGTGGATTGAAAAATTAACAGCAATGAAACATGTATGCGTTGCAGGTAAAGTTAGATATTAGGACAATCTGTTTAATATAGCTCATGATGTTTTACCGTGGTGAATATGATTCAAACATATATGATTAAAAAATATATGTTATGTGTTACTACTTTGCAATGCAACATTTGTTCTACCATAACCCTAACCCATATATGCCCCGTCTTCATACAGCGAAATGATTTGAACACAGGCTTTTTTTAAGAACCTGTCTCGGGGGTGGGCATCTACAAAAAGGACAATACTATATTGAGTGTGGAGAGATGACAGATGGTTGTTGGTGACAAAAAGTTTGGTGTGGTATCGTATATACTAGGGGGGTCTGGAGGTATTCTTCCCCAGAAAATTTTTTGTATTTTTCCACCCCTAGAACTGAAATTGTGAGCATTTTCTGAAGCAGATCTTTGGATATACAGCGTTACATTGTGCTTTAATAGACCAAATCTGATCAGTTAAGTGTACTTGCATGCTATGTTTATGCAAATACCACAACTGGGTCCCTCAGGGGGTGGAAAGCTTAAACTTGGAAAACGATCGCGAGGCGCTACCATGGTTGGTGCTGAGCAGGGAAATTTTGAACATTTTGAGTCTCTAGATCGTTGGAAATAGTATTTTCAGAGTCTTCTTTTTTGCTATTTGTGATTATAGAAATCAAAACTCTAGACATGGTATTTAAGTTCATAAACTTTTTTGACCCCCCCCCCCTTCTTTGTGTTAAAACTTTTTTGACCCCCTATTTATAAGGGTAAAACTTCGTTGGCCCCCCTCCCTTTTCTCAACCCCCCTCCCCATAAATAATGACCACTCCCTAATGACCAACGAATATCAATGCGACTTAAGACGTCATGCCACAATGCTGCAAATCAGGCAAGTAGTCAGTATGTATTGCCGGTCCAGTGTATCATTTGTGAGAAGGATACTGATCAGTTTGTAATGGTGAGTATTTTGCAACCTATACATTATTTCAATATCAGCCTTTCACGTTTATAGACACCATGTGAGAAAGATTATTTCAAAATAATATGGTACACTGACACTGTATTCCTAAAATTGTGATACTTTAGGCTGGAATGCATGCAGATGTATAAACCCCTGTCATGTAGGGCTCACAAATTATAACGGCCGGTCAACGGACAATGATCAGCGAAATAAGGCTTTTGCCCTTTGTCATTTTTATGCCCTCTGATATAATTTTAAAAGGATTGTCTCTGCAGAAGTGTTTGAGAACGATTGTATATTTCATGGCAGATACATATAATTTCATTGCAAGAGCGTCTAGTAGTTACGAATTACGCGAACATTGGTTCTCCATGCACTGAGACAGAATCGCCTCTTCATTATGCTGTTGGCTTTGAGCAATTTTGCAAAGATGTGATTGACCCTCTTGTCAGGCAGAAGAAAATAGAGTACATGTCTTATTTGTATGAAAGATTCATAAAATTGTGAGTCAAATTGAAAATGTTGACGCAAGACGTTTTCCAAAATTTAGGCTGAAAGCAAGACTCGATCAAAAAGTTATATCCACAGCTTGTATTTTATACGCCTAAAATTCGAAACAGAAGTGAAATTGTTTACTCTGAAAGTCTCTCAGCTGAAGATTTAGTGAATGATCAAATGTCAAGCAATTTTATTGGGACGGTGATCATAGCGAGAGTGATAGTGAAATGGAATGGGAAGATGAAAATGTCACTGACAATAGCACCCCTAAAAATGGGCACCCGTGCCCAAAATTTTAGGCACGGCACCTCTGCCTTTTGACGTGTAAACGTGACAAAAATGGGTGCCGAAAAATTGAACGTGCCAAAACATTCTCACGAGGTAGTCTCGGCACATCTAGCAAGCGGTGCCGTCCCCAAATTTCGAAAAAAAATTAAAATGTGTTCGACATCGAGCATGCGCATCATTTACCCGCTTACCGGGTAAAGTTTCCGGCTGTGACGTAGCACTGAACATCAATTGAATTGAAAAGTTGCTGCCATGCACGACAGAAAGTTATCCCGCTAAACGGTGCCCATTTTCAGGGTGCCGTGCCCAATACGCTTGTCGTGTAAACCGGCCTTAAATTTACTGTTTACTGCAGAAGCCATATTTCAACGTGATATGCAAATTGCGAAGTAGAATAAATCATGTCCGTGATTTCTGGCCATGATTACTATTCACTGTCAATTCTCATTCAATGTCATGAATTTTTGTAGATGCATTACATTACATTATTAACTTTTATATTAAAATGGATAGATGCATTGTATTACTTTAACTTTTATAAGAAAATTTGAATCTTTAGTCCTTCACTCACATTTCACAGATTTCTGGCCACTAAAACTGCTTACATTGCACAAAACGTAGTCCTAAGTGACACACGGTAGATAAGAATGTCTAAAATCAGTAAAATGCTGACTCAGCATTTTTTTAAACTTTGGTAAGCAATATCTCAGTAACGAGTGACTGAATGTGGTCGGTATAATATAGTTTTTTTGTTCACTTATGTGTAACTATCTGATGGTATTATAAAATTTTCAAAATTCGAAGATTTTCATTTTTCATTACTATCGATGACGTCATCGACGGAATAACATCGATTTTTCAATCTTGTGCACAGTTATGATTGGGGGGTTCTTTTAATATTCAATTTGGCATGCTCCTCCATGACTTTATGAAAGAACTGGTTAGTCTCGCGATATGTGCAACGAAAATCTTTTTCTAGGCATATTTTTAGATGGCAGACGACGGCCTAAATAAATTTTGAGGGAAATGTGAAGGAAATTCTAGAAGAAGAAAGCAAAATTTCACCAAAATTGATAATATTTAATATATTTTGAAAATAAAGCGTAAAATAAGCCTCAATCTGGGCACAATTTAACAGAGAATAGAAATTGAGAACTTATATTTCATTATTCAATTTTGTCTCCCTGAATGACGTCACTCTGTTTATAGTTTTTAGTTATCTCCATGGGCGTTGGAAACTTTTTTTAATTGGGGGGGCTTCAATGTCTTTGGGCCCTCCACTTTTAACAACAGTCAGTAATAAACAAAGTTAAATGATATTATTTCAGTTACGCGTGTAGATAAAATAACTTGAGGTATTTTATGACATTTTGTTCCATTTAGAACTCTGTAAATCTCCTTCTAAAGTGCAGGAAATGGCATTTCAGAGACTCTAGTTTAAAATTGTCCCGTAGGGCATGCCGCCGGATCCCCCAGAAAGTCACCTGCCATCACCCCCTTCGGCGGGCACTAAATGTGCCCCTCCACACTTTACAGCCGCTCCGACACCCCTGGTTATCTCACTTATCTGTACGGAAATATAGTCATACAATTGTATCAGACTTTAAAGCAATGATAAAATTGAACATCCAGATGATTGTTCAACCTCGTACTCAAGATCTTTCTGGAAAAGGCTATTTAGCCTATTTTGCAGGGACGGGGGGGCTGGGGGGGCTTTAGCCCCCCCACTTTTTTTGACAGCCAAAATTATTAAAATAGAAATCTAAATGAAACTTTCTAAATTAATTAATTGGGGGTTTTATTGATGATTTAGCCCCCCACTCTCTAATACGCTCCGCGGGCCCTGTTTTGAGGTTGATTTTGGAGAATATTCAACGTAATTTTATTTAAATTTATGAAGGAAATTTGAAGGAAATTTCACAATTTTTTGAAGGAAATTTCGGTCAAAATAAGGAGAAAAAAAGGATTTTTTGGTTTTTCAAAGTGGAAACACTGATGAAAATATCAAACTTTGGCCTTATATTGTGAAAAAACAGCGGGTTTTGAACAAAGATATTTAAAATCAGCATAGTTTAATCTCCAAATTCCCGTTAAAATATTTTAGCACCGCGATGGGGGCGACGGAACTGAACGTTTTCATGCCACAGCTAACGGTCTAACATGCTTATATGTAATATGCTAACCAAATTTCTGTAAAAATTTTCAAAAATAGGGAAGGGGTGAATTAATTTCCCTCTTTGTTTGACTTGTTTTTTTTTTATCAAAATGATCAATTAAAGGCGAGTATTTTGGTTACAAATATCTGTGTAGCTTTAAAGTATATATTCAATATCAACAATATGTCACTCATGGCTATATGTATTTTATTTCAGTCATTTGGTCATATTTCCAATCAATTCTGAGTGTACTCTACTCTTTATATGAAAGACTTTTCGGAATTAAATTATATGTTCTGCCTTGCAGTATTATCTTCAAAGAAAATCTAGTGATTTTAATACGCCTAACTGTGTATTTCATGCAATATGGCGTCAAGTGTTTACACTTGAATACTTCCATACAAAACGGTGACAAATATCTTACCATTAATCACACAGTTGTGACCTCTCCAAGCATTCAGTTCCAATATGAAATATAAACATCTCTGCTTAATTCTTGAATCTCTACCTTTAATATAATACAAGTTTTTCACGCCATAAATTCGATACAAACACGGTTGATACAAACACTCGATTCCTGGTATGGGACTTTCCCTTTCCTAGAACTGACCTCAACAATTACGTCATACCATCACTAAACAAAGGCATACAGCCAAAGCACAGAATGGCCAAAGCGTTTATCTCAATAAAAACGTAGTATACGGTATTTTTCGCCGATAAATAGGTTTTTCTTCTTTTCTGTTGCTGTTACTGGCCAGTGTCTGATATCAAAGAATCTAACATTAGTCTTCAGAAAATTCGATGCTGTTGAACGGCTAAAGCTGTGGACACACAGTCTACTACGGTGGCCCAGAAGTGCAAAACACAAAACAAACAAAGCAGAACAAAAATTACGTTTCTTTATCATTTTTACACTATTTTGATACATTTTTACCCAAAACATGAAACACAATTAACCATTTTACAACACAATTTTCTCTTTTGTGACACATTTGGAAAACACAAAACACATTTGGAAATCACAAAACACATTTGGAATCACAAAACACATTTGCAAACCACAAAACACATTTAGAAATCACAAAACACATTTGGAATCACAAAACACATTTGGAATCACAAAACACATTTGCAAATCACAAAACACATTTAGAAATCACAAAACACATTTAGAAATCACAAAACACATTTGCAAATCACAAAACACATTTGCAAATCACAAAACACATTTAGAAATTGGAAATTCCGAAGTGCTTCCACTTCATAAAACTGGATTTCCTGTTTTTATCCTTATTTATTTATCCTTATCTGGCGTTTGAAATAGACTATTATTAAGACCCAATGGTTGGAATCTAATAGTTTTTTGCCATTATCTTGGCAATTCATTATATTTTCTACCAATTTTATTCCAAAAAGGATTTTCTCCCATTTTTCCTGCCAGAGCCATATTTTTCCTTTTGCCAGAATTTTCATGGCAAGTGGAAGCTATGAATTCACAACGTGGTTGGAGGGAAAACAAATCCACCACGAAATGGAGGAGGAAGAAGAAGCAATAAGATATTATTTCAGAAGAAATTACGACTATAATGCGATATTAGAGTTTTTAGACAAATACCATGACATAAAGATGTCGAAACGGACTCTCTTAAACCGTTTAAGAGATTATGGTTTGAACAGGCGAAATCGCAACATCGACGAAGATCTCCTTCGCGATCATATTAACAGGGAATTACAAGGCTCTGGTAACCTACTTGGTTACCGAGCGATGTGGCGGAGACTTCACTTGAAATATGACATTAATGTACCAAGGTCAGCGGTAGAAGAATTAATGAGAGAAATTGATCCCGAAGGTGTCAGAAGTCGAAAAGCCCACAGGCTTAAAAGAAGAAAGTATTCTAATCCCGGGCCAAATTACTGCTGGCACGTCGACGGGTACGACAAACTCAAACCTTATGGGCTGCCTATACACGGATGTATCGATGGTTTTAGTCGACGTTTGATATGGCTGAAAGTGGAAAAGAGCAATAATGATCCTAGAGTAATCGCAAACTTATTCAAAAACGCTATCATTGAGATAGAAGGTTGCCCAACACTCCTGCGTACTGACCGAGGGACAGAAAATGCAATCGTCTCGTCAGCCCA